GTATGCTAAAGCTTTTCTAATGTCAAGTATCATTTCCTTAGACCATGAGATTGTGCAACTCCCGGATACCGTAGGAATACTTTGGGTGTGCCAAACGTCACAACGTAACTAGGTGGCTATAAAGGTACACTACAGGTATCTCCGAAAGTGTCTGTTGGGTTGGCACGAATCGAGACTGGGATTTGTCACTCCGTGTGACGGAGAGGTATCTCTGGGCCCACTCGGTAGGACATCATCATAATGTGCACAATGTGATCAAGGAGTTGATCACGGGATGATGTGTTACGGAACGAGTAAAGAGACTTGCCGGTAATGAGATTGAACAAGGTATCGGGATACCGACGATCGAATCTCGGGCAAGTACAATACCGCTAGACAAAGGGAATTGAATACGGGATTGATCGAATCCTCGACATCGTGGTTCATCCGATGAGATCATCGTGGAACATGTGGGAACCAACATGGGTATCCAGATCCCGCTGTTGGTTATTGACCGGAGAACGTCTCGGTCATGTCTGCATGATTCCCGAACTCGTAGGGTCTACACACTTAAGGTTCGATGACGCTAGGGTTATAAAGGAAGTTTGTATGTGTTTACCGAATGTTGTTCGGAGTCCCGGATGAGATCCCGGACGTCACGAGGAGTTCCGGAATGGTCCGGAGGTAAAGATTTATATATGGGAAGTCCTGTTTTGGTCACCGGAAAAGTTTTGGGTTTTATCAGTAACGTACCGGGACCATCGGGAGGGTCCCGGGGGTCCACCAAGTGGGGCCACCAGCCCCGGAGGCTTGCATGGGCCAAGAGTGGTAAGGGACCAGCCCCTGAGTGGGCTGGTGTGCCTCCCACAAGGCCCAAAGGCGCAGCTTGGAGGAGAAGGGGAAACCCTAGGCTCATATGGGCCTAAGGCCCACCCTAGGGGGCGCCCCCCTCTCCCCCTCTTGGCCGCCCCCCCTTTTTCCCATCTAGGGATGCCGCCCCCCCCCCTAGGGGTGGGAACCCTAGAGGGGGCGCACCCTCTTCCCCTCCTCCTATAAATAGTGGGGTTTTGGGCTGCCCAACACATGCGATTTGATCTCTCCCTGGTGCAGCCCTACCTCTCTCCTCCTCGTCTCTTGCGGTGCTTGGCGAAGCCCTGCTGGAGTACCACGCTCCTCCACCACCACCACGCCGTTGTGCTGCTGCTGGATGGAGTCTTCTTCAACCTCTCCCTCTCTCCTTGCTGGATCAAGGCATGGGAGACGTCATCGGGCTGTACGTGTGTTGAACGCGGAGGTGCCGTCCGTTCGGCACTAGGATCTCCGGTGATTTGGATCACGACGAGTACGACTCCTTCAACCCCGTTCTCTTGAACGCTTCCGCATAGCGATCTACAAGGGTATGTAGATGCACTCTCTTTCCCCTCGTTGCTGGTTTCTCCATAAGATAGATCTTGGTGACACGTAGGAAAATTTTGAATTTCTGCTACGTTCCCCAACAGTTGGGTTATAATGGGAACCCCTTGATAGTTCGCCTTGATTAAAGCTTTTCCAGCAATGCCCAACCTTGGTTTTACCATTTGCCACCTAGCCTCTTTTCCCTTGGGTTTCCGGAGCCCGAGGGTCATCTTATTTTAGCCCCCCGGGCCAGTGCTCCTCTGAGTGTTGGTCCGAACCAGGCAGCCTGCGGGGCCATCTCGGGGAAACTCGAAGGTTGGTTTTACTCGTAGCTTGACCTATCTGAGTGTGCCCTGAGAACGAGATATGTGCAGCTCCTATCGGAATTTGTCGGCACATTCGGGCGGTGTTGTTGGTTTAGTTTTAACCTGTCGAAATGTCTTGAAGAACCGAGATACCGAGTCTGATCGGAACGTCTTGGGAGGAGGTCTATTCCTTCGTTGACCGTGAGAGCTTGTCATGGGCTAAGTTGGGACTCCCTGCAGGGATTGAACTTTCGAAAGCCGTGCCCGCGGTTATGGGCAGATGGAAATTTGTTAATGTCCAGTTGTAGATAACTTGAACCTTAATTTAATTAAAATGAATCAACCGTGTGTGTTACCGTGATGGCCCCTTCTCGGCGGAGTCCGGGAAGTGGACACGGTGTTGGAGTAATGTTTGCGCAGGTTGCTCTCTAGTTTCTCGCTCGCGCTTTGCCTCCTTTTCTCGCTCTCTTTTGCGAATAAGTTAGCCACCATATATGCTAGTCGCTTGCTGCAGCTCCACATATATTTACCTTACCCTACCTATAAGCTCAAATAGTCTTGATCGCGAGGGTGCGAGATTGCTGAGTCCCTGTGGCTCACAGATTACTATTACACCAAATGCAGGTCCAGGTGATTCCGCTCCAGGTGACGCTTACGAGCTCAAGTGGGAGTTCGACGAGGACTCTCAGCGTTACTATGTTTCCTTTCCTGATGATCAGTAGTGGTGCCCTGTTGGGGGTGATCGGGACCATGTCGCTTGTTGGGTTATCTTTCATTTTGGCGCCGTAGTCGGGCCATGAGTGTTTGAATGATGTATGTTATTTATGTACTTGATTGACGTGGGAGTGTAAGCCAACTATGTTATCCCTTTTCATTATCTTTATTACATGGGATGTTTGTGATGATTACCTGACTTGCGACATATGCCTTCAATGCGATTATGCCTCTAAGTCGTGCCTCGACACGTGGGAGATATAGTCGCATCGAGGGTGTTACAGCCGTAGAATGCTGTTCTGGAATCCATATCTTGCTTGGAGAAGAGTGCTATGTTGTTGTGATTGTGTTCCCTCGTTCGGTTTGTGTGTCTATATAGCAGCCAGGAGCAATAAGGATGGGGTGCAAGAACAGTTCAAACCAATTTGTTTGAGTGTCTTTTTTCTCATTTCAGAGGGAATGTTTCAGTGTTGTTAGTTAGGTGACAGCGACACACACGCGTGAGGAGCAAAGACTAATCCTTTTGTCTATATAGGAATCCCCGTGCTTTTTGTAATGAGGAAGAAGCACCATGCTTTGATCAGGTCCTGGCGGCTATTAGTACCAAACCGGATATAGATCTTAATTAATTATATGCTCTCTCGTGCAATGACCTGGTCGACTTTCAAACAAGCTTCCACGGCTTTGCACATGGGTCTTAATCGTTCCACATGCGTCTTAATCGTTCTACAAACGCGGGCGGTATAGGTAATACGTAACAAAGTTGACAAACGTGACACATTCAAATATTCCATGGGCACGTCAAGGATATAGACCCGCCAACTTTCCTATAATCGCATGTACTCAAAGATGTAACTTTGCCTGTTTTCAAATAAAGTTCCAAGAGACTTTTTCTTCGAAAAATAAATTTACAAGGGCAAAGACTGGTTTTGCTGATCCGTTTCTCCAGCTATTACATTATATAAATCCAGTAGTTCGAGCCGACATAGTGTGATGTGGTCGCCTCTCTAAGCTCGTCTCATGGTTTTCAATTCTTTCACTGAGAAAGCCAACTAACAAGTATTTAAAGAGAACACACATTTATGGAAAACATAGGCCCGAGAATGGATATTGGGACGTTACATAGACATCATCAATCATATCATAGTGCACATAACAAAGCATGTAAAACCAAGCTCATGTTCTCCTACTTTTGTAGGCATGTATTAGTATGTAGTTGAACTTGCTTATTTATAGGAACAAGAGCTTGCCCAGCATCTATAGTCCTACCCTCCCATGTCACGGTGATCATAGTTTAAACAAAGGGTAATTAAGGCGTCATTTTGTGAGACAACCGTACCAACACATTAACACTTCGTGAATACATGGAAACATCAAATCACAACACTCCCCATTGATATCCCGGTCACCCTCGGGGTCACTTTTGAGGCTATAATAGGTACATACCACACTTGCAGGTACAATCCAGACACATTGGCATCATGAAAACTTATATGGTTAATATATGATACCACGTTACTTGGGCCCTATTAGTAGACATTAAGCATAACAAAGTTGTATCAAAACCCTATAATCTTAGCACTACTATATGATTGGCATCGTCAAATTCCCATCCACCTGCCTACAACAGATTACTTGCATATGGATGGAAGAAACATGATGGAGATGAGAGGAAAAGAGTTGATGGCGGTGGAACTCCCTCTTAGTGTGCAGAATCAACCTCTCGACAACCCTCCTAGACGAGGATTAGCGATGGTGTCGACCGTCAAGTGTCAGGATAATATGGCATAAATTTCGTGGAACTTAGAACGCCAAGAGAAATTGATAGCCGGAAGGAGTTGATGGGAGACAACCTTTGGATCCCCACGCAGGTGGCTCACACAACCTCCTCCATAGCCAGCGTGAGGAGTGGGGCATTAAGGTCAATGATACTCAAATCGGAAGAGACATACCGAGGACGAGGTAAGGGTGGGGGATAATCCATCATTACAAAAGGAATGTGAAACCGAATTTTATTAAACTAATTTTCATGTGTATTAGATTATTATTTTCACCCGCCAAAGAATCCTATCTGGAGCAATAGAATTAAAATGGACATGGGCGCTCAGAACAATTAATTGACAAACGCAAAAATAAGGATCTTGAAGTTTGGACCCAAGGACAACAAGGCATAAAAATTTTGATATCACAAAGGAAATCGTGCAAACTACAATGTAAATCTAAATTAACTTCAATGTACTAACACGAGCATTTTGGACATTAGCAGCCATTCATGAATTCGGTGATTTTGGCCCAGCTAAGAAAATTTGATCATGTTTATTTCTTTTCACTTCCAGTTTAGAAACGTTTTCATCCAGAAAGAAAGGTTCCGGAGATTTGATCATTCGTTCTCCCTTAGTCTATTTCATGTCGATATGATCCATGGTTTTCTCATTAATTCATTTTTCGTAAAAGTTTGTGAATAAACCTCTCCTTAGCAAAGAATCGTATTTTATTCCAGTATAACATTTCCTGTGATGATGTACAAAATTAAAGTGTTTCTTCTACATTTTCTTATGCCAACCACATGAATACATAAATTATGTGTATAATACAAAGAATATGAGCTTAAGATGTATCTGCAACAAAGTCTTGTATCACATTCCGTACCGCAATAGGAATTCTCACTGAGTGGGTACTTCCGTCTGACCATGTCAAGCTCCCAAAAGTGTATCCTCCTTGTACTCTCTGCCTTGTTGTGAATGTCACCATAAACGTCACGCTTTTACTAGTGCTTTGGGTGAAATTTATCACAGATGGCTCTACGGACACGTCTATCCCCGCTGGAGCTTCAACCACTAAATGATATGTTGCTTCCGCTGGCCCAATGTTAGTCACGGTGCGCCGAAGCATGACACGGTCCTTGAGGTCTGGCACGGCAATTGACGGGAGGTTGAGATTGAGGTAGTAGGACTCACAGCCGCCTAAATATCCAAGGGTGCAGTTGAAAAACTTGTTGTACTCCCTTGCATCAATGTCGTAAACCAAGCCAGGGTCAACGGCTCTATTTGGGTCAATGTGTCCACCACCAAAGTCGAAGGGGTCGGCTAGTTTCCTTGGGACTGCTTCTGCTTGGATTGGCATGCCAAAACGATCGGTCACAGATGCTTCAACCAATGCCAAGGAATCATCAAGTTAGTCATATATTCAAATGAGTTATTTTGACATATTTTGGTTATTACTTTCCTACCTGTGGTGACGATGGCCGATTTGATCATGGCAGGTGACCACTGAGGGTGAACCGACTTGAGCATCGCAGTCACTGCGGAGACATGTGGGCACGCCATTGATGTCCCAGAATAGAACACGTAGGAGCCGCGTACCGCTGCCAATATGTTGACGCCAGGAGCAGTAATGTCGGGCTGTCAAAACATTAATTTTTATCATGAATTAGGTATGTAAGTCTTCAATTCTGAAAAACTAGATAGGCTAGATAGCAAACAAACAGTGACAAACATTCAACTATTTGCCTTAAGTTGATAATGATATACACCTTCAGTATGCCAGGGAGCAATAGGCTTGGACCTCTGGAGGAGAACGAGGCGACCCTCGGCGACAACACCCCATTTCCAACAACACTTACAGCCGGAGACACCATCACCACCGGATTCCTAGACACATGACAAACATGAATTAGTTCTTGTATAAGGAGATGGCAAACTGACTGTTCAAATATGTTCACACTGCAGTTTCCAACAATTCGACAAATTCTCACTCAGTCATGTCCCAGTAGGAGAAAATTCGATGTGCGATCTCGAAATCCACCAGAGCGCAAGGCATAAATCCCTCGCACCCGACCAGGCTGTCAAGATTGTTGGCGGTATATTGTGCGAAGATGAGGCCCTTCGCACCGGACTCAATAGTATAATTGAATTGATGGCATAAGGGAGTATTAACTGGGGCGACCACCGCGATGCCTCTTCTGGTGCATAACAAAGGACGGTTTTGCCCGTGACATTGCCCAAGGCCAGTGATTCCGGGTCGCAGCTGCTCAAAAGTTTTAAAATTGAACATGGTTTCGTCCTAAAGCGCGGCATTTACTATTAATCAAATGTCATCAAGAGACTGGTTTCTTTCATTACCTCCCAGCATAAACAAGGGCCTGAGAGCCGCTGTTATTTATAGCTGCATTGTAATTTAGAGCTTGTCCCTGCGTTTGAAATTGATCACAAATTAAAGGAGGAGCAAACCATTTATTTTCCCCGGGTTGGTTTGAACGTCACTTTCGTGCTCAGAGAGTCAAAAGGTTATTATTTAGTAAAATTATAGGGAAAAGCCTGATTGACCAATCCTCCACATTCATGCTATCTTATATGAACTATTTCAGGATTGGAGCATGTCTTATCCAATAACATTTTCACCTGTTTTCTTTAATATTTTCCATGGGGTTTTTCTATCCCTTGAGAAGGGCAAGGTAACACTTCCCTGTAATATTTCTTAAGAGATGGAAAATATACGAAATGATTTACATACTTTTTTAAAACAAAGGAGTGAAATAGTTTGGTACATACCACCAGCTTTTCTTTGTTCCCAAGCAATATTAAGGTCGGAAAAGACCGGTCAATCGTGCTAGCGGCCACCGGTCTTAACCCATGGCACGGCATTCGTCACCGTCTGTGGCACAGGGCCATCATTCCCTCCGGCGAACACGACAGAGATCCCTCTTTGCACAGCATGCAACGTCCCAGAGTACTCCTGACCAACCCCTCCAACAGAGAGCGACAAGACGTCAACCCCATCATGTATAGCGTCATCAATGGCAGCAAGGACCGCCGTGTCAGGGCAACCCTCATCCAGCCAGCACACCTTGTAGATACCAAGTCGTGCACGTGGTGCTCCGTCACGTGCCACACCCATGCCTAGGCCTCCATAGCTGACGCCCTGCACTTCCCCACTGGCGATAGTTGAGGCGACGTGTGTGCCATGGCCATTGAGGTCCCTAGGTGACTTGTAGTCGATCTTTAATGACTCGGCACTGATGCCACGGCCATACCACCGCGCACCGATGATCTTTCTGTTGCAACTAGTGGCGTTGAACTTCTCGCCACTCTGGCATTTTCCTTTCCACCGTGCCGGCACGGGGCCATAGCCGTTGTCATCAAAGCTTCGTGATTCAGGCCATATGCCTATAAAGAAGCATTTACATCCATGGGGTTAATTGATTCCTGGCCTTGGGATTTCTCATGTTTTGGATTTAAGCTTAAGGATGGGATTACAAACCTGTATCGATCACACCCACAATGACATCTTCACCATACTTTGCTCTTTTGAGGAGCCCCGGTTGTTGTGGCGGTTGATTATAGTCAAGGCCAAGGAAATCCCAGCTCCGAGTTGTGTGCGTTTTGTGAAAAATATTAGTGTTCACAGAGACAACTTCAGGAAATTCTACATTCATAGTATGTTCATTAGTTCATTTCGATCATGCAAGTTGATATAAAGATAGCAAGCTCATGCCACCTCCGGACTGACAATTAATAATCATACTCCAAACAAATATGGTTGTGTAAATGGCAATGATGATGGAGAGGCTGGGGGCTTAACCCCGTCTTATAAAAAAAAGGGTTGACAATTACTTACTTGCGATTGCCACAGCTTGAGATTTTGTTAGCATAGCCGCGAACCCAGAAAATCCATGCTTGTAACTGTAAACTATCGGCCTCACGGCTTCATCCTTGCTGTTTCAAGTAATAATAAAACAAAAGGGAGGTGAGCAAATCACGACTGTTTCCTGCTAACACATCTATGATGCGACATGAAACTCATAGCCAGTAGTACCTCCCAAAAACAGATATTAGCATGTCATGGTGCGACGCGATGACCACGGACGGGTCATCATGTTTCTTCTCCCCCATATACACAATGTAGAGCTGAAATTTCAACAAGAAAATGTTCTCAGTAAAAGATTGGAAAGAAGATAAGATAAATGCTGTGCGAAGAGGAATCGAGCATGGATCTTACTTTGCTCGGCGCGCTGGCTGAAAGAGGCAGCAGCGTCACCAGCAGTAGCAGAGCGCCGCAGAATGCTGTTCTGGAATCCATATCTGGCTTCGAGAAGAGTGTTCCCTCGATCGCTTCTCCCTGTGTGTATATATAGCAGCCAGGAACAAGAACAAGCATGGAGGCACAAGAACAGTTCAGACGAATTTGTGTGCGAGCTGTTTCCTTCCCTTTTAAGGGATTGTTTGTGTTGCTACTTGCTAGGTGACACACACGTCCGCAAGGAAGACCATATATAGATCCTTGTCTGTATACAAAGCACCGTGCCTTTTCCATCAGAGAAGAAGCACCGTGCTTTGATCAGGTCTGCCAGGATTAAACAGCTAACCGGATATAAATATTCTGGTATCTGACGTAATGACCTGATCATCGTCTTTCAAACAATTTTCCGCGGTAAGTTGGGCATGAAACAGGATGGGCCGCTTTGATGCCAGGACAATCATTTTAGGTTTTTTAGGCTTATGCCCTTGGTTGGTTCCCACTACTCTTAGATTTCGGACCTACACAGTTTTACCCTTGTTTCAATATAAAACCATTTTTTTCTTTTCGATTTGAACTCAATTTCATCAATTCTGAAGTTGCTACCCACATGTGTGATGTGGTCTGTTAGACCATTGCTTAGGGCATCTCCAATGCAGACACCTACTCCGGCCTCAAATGTCTGAACCGGATGGTTCAGACACTTTAGACCTCCAATGTGGACTCCTACCAAAATCACTCGGTCTGTCCCCAAATCGAGAGGCGGGATCGGGGAGTCTAGGCATCGTCATGTCCCATTACTACATCTTGAA